ATGCCCGTTATAGTGTTCAGTGTCAGCTCGTGCTCCAGTGCTCCTTGTGATGTCTGAACTGCTCCCTGCCCTCTAGGTCCTTTCCCTGGCAGTTGGATGTCAGGCGGCGGGGCCGGGGAGGGAGGAAGAGAGCCCCCCTCCCAACTCTTAGCACACCCCGCCCTTCCCGCTGTGGGTGCCCCAGGAACAGCCTCCTGGGCAGCAGAGCAGGCGTCAGCCTCGGCAGGGGCACCACCCACCTGGAGAGCCCGGCCCCCTCCCTTGCCGCCCCGCCCCACCGTTTGAACATTTAAAGTTACCTATTGCTGCTACTTGTTCTGTCCTCTGACCTTGGGGCAAAGGAGCCCCAGGCCCTGTCCCCTGGCATCCTCCCTGGTGGCCCAGGCAGGAGCACTGACACCCCCAGCTTCCCACTCCCCGCTACACACATGCCCGGTCCAGGCCCCTGGCTCATGGCTACTGCCCCATATTTATTCACTGGCAGAGAATCTTGGAGAAACTGGGGTCTGAAGCAAATATCCCCCTCGCCCCCAGCCCCGTCCCAGCTGCCCCTGGTGAGACTTCTGCGAGTGAAGAGGAGGGGTCTCAGGTCAGACCCAGCCTGGGCCGAGGGTTGACCCGCCCTCTAAGCTCGATGGGATTTTGGTCTGAACTTGGAGCCTCACTCCCAGGCGAAAACCCAGTGTCCCTGATTGCTGTCTCTGGTGGAGACAGGACCGGGCCCACTGCCGCCTCCCTGTCCTATCAAAAGCCCCGATGACGTGGATTTGGAGGCTGCCTTGGCTTTGGCTTGGCCCCTGTTCACCCCAGTGTCCTCCACTCCGGGGAGTGAGGATGGGGAAGGATACGGGTTTTTTCCTGCTTCTGACAGGAAGCGAGGGCCTCCCTCTTCCCTTCCTTAACCTGCTCCCGTTGTTCTTAGCCCTTGGAAAGGTGTCCTTGAAGTCCCTCTGCCTCTATGCCACTGTCTGCTCAGCCCAGCTGGGGCGTGGGGACCAGGTGAAAGCAAGGGGGAGGTGAGCACAGAGGCAGTCCCTCCTCAAAGCTGACTAGGGGCCCTGTGTGGTCTTGACACAGCTGCGGGGAAGGCTGCGGTGAGAGCCGAAGGGGAGGCTACGTGCGAGTTGTCAGAGGGAGTGGGTTGAAAACTGGCCAGTCAGGATGACTGGGTGAAAGAGGAGTTGCTCCCGCCGCTGGCGTTTTGAGTGTAGGCAATTTGGGATGCCCCCTGGGGACGGTTTGGGGGCCTTGGTGAGTCTCTAAGCAGTTTTGTCCGTTTTCAGGCTGTGCTTTGCTTTCGGTGTTTCTCTATCGGTGTTTGGTGTTCCAAAAGCAGTAAGCCCTCTTTACAAGAAAACCAGCAGCACGGAAACAGGAGGCAAGACGTGCTGGTTCCCCTCAGGGCTGCGGGGACAGCTCGTGCGCCTCGTGGCATTTAGTGGGCAGACACAGACTCGCCCTGACCCCACTCGAGTCTGCCCTGACAGTAGATCTGCAGGAATGGAGTCGTGCCACACAGGCCCCCAACTCTCAAATGTTCCCCTTGCTTCCTCCTTTTGCAGTGCTAAAAAACAGTGCAAACAGACATTATTGGTAAAAAATAGTTTGGAATTTGAAAGATAATTAGTAAAAACCTCTCGATTCCCCCCAAATTCTGAAAAGCAGACCATAATGCATAAAGACTCATCAAAGCGTGCAAAACAGCCGCCTGGTGCACCGGAATCTGTCACCGACAAAAGAGTCTGATGTCTGGAAGGGTCGTTTTCCCTAAGCCTCTCCAGCTTGCCCTGAGCCAGTCGTTTCTGACTGAATATCTAGGCGTCCGGTAAGTGAGACTTCAGACAGGAAGCCCACTGGTCTGGCCGTGGTGAGGGGCATGGGCTGCAGGGCTCTGGGAGGTCTTGGGGCCTTCCTTTGGGGTGGCCAGCTTGGGAGGGGGCAGAGAAGGAAAAGCTGAGGGGGGTCCCTGTGAGGGAGGATAGAAGGGTCATTCGCCCCGCTGGGTCTCAAAGGCAACAAGAGGAGAGCTGAAGAAAGCTCTGGGTGGCTGGCAGGATCCCAATGTCACCATTCTTCCGTCCCCCTCCCCAGATCTGTGTCGAGATATCCATGTCCGTGTGCGTGCGTGTGCATCTTGTAGGGCTAGCGTTAGATGGATGATGCCCTCTCACTTACCATTCCTAACTATTGTAACTTGACATTAAAGAGACAAAACCCCACAAAACTCTTCCTGCCATGGGCTTGCAGTTTGAAGCACTTTCGATGTCGGGCGCTGGCGTTTGTGATCTGGGCACCATCCTGACCCTGCCCAGGTTGCCATAATATTATTTTATACACAAAACTTTTTTTCATAAATGTTATAATTTTGTGTCTGTCTTTATAAACTATTATAAGTACTATTTTTGTTATAATTCAAAATAGATATTTAGTATAAAGTTTTTGCTGTTAAATATTTGTTATTTAGTAAAATATGAATTTTTCTCTATTGTAAACATGGTTCAAAATATTAATATGTTTTTATCACAGTTGTTTTAATGTTGAAAAAGCACTTGTGTGTTTTGTTTTGATATGAAACTGGTGCCGTGTGAGTGTTTTTGCTGTCATGTGGTTTTAATCTGTATATAATATTCCATGTTGCATATTAAAAAATGAATGTTGTGCATTTTGTGATTTTGGAGATACTCAATGTGGCTCTTTTATAGGCTTCCATAATAAACTGTGGGGACTCACCCTTGTCTCCTTTGTCTCTGTGGTTTCTGTCTTCTCAGCCTCACTGAGAGGGTCCTCCAGGGCCACCGGTGTCCATGTCAGTAACGCTCAGTCCAGTGTGTCAGCTAGAAGTTCCTCCTTAAGACATCTGTCCCGTGAGGCCAGTCCCATGTTCTTTGTGTACAGGCACAGAGACGTCTGTGGCAGGTCCCAGGAGGAGGAGGTTTTCTTGGGGAGGGAGAGATATAACTGGACAGCTTGTTGGGGAAGGGGCAGCTGGGAGACTGCTCCCCTCAGCTGAGTGGGGCTGTGACAGGTTGTGCCAGGCTCTCAGGGCGGGACAGGGTGACCCAGAGCTCTGAGCCCATCTTGTTAACTCGAGCGAGGTCCAGGGATACATGGAAAATTGGGGCACAGAATTCACTTCTCCTGATATCCTGCCTCACAATCCCACTCGGCACTCCCCAAAGTCTGGTTCACGGGAGTTGCAGGATCAAATAGATTCCAGGATCAAATACGTTTGGGAAATGGGTTAAACACAGGCGTGTTCCTTTTCCATAAGCCTTGTCAGAACCCTGGGCCTCAGGAAGTATAGCCGTGGGGCAGGACGGTGCAGGGCGAATACAGGCTACAGCAATCTCCAGGTCTATTTGAGGACAGAAACCTTGACCTTTTTCACTGATGATCGCATTTTTATGGAAAGCTCCACAGCCTAACTGTCACAGAGTCCTGAGGTGAGGACCAGTAAAGGACATGACCTCTAGAGCCGAGACGAGCAATGCCCATGGTGGCTCCAAGAACCGAGGAGCTGGGGGGGAGGAGCTGTGGCACAATGGCCAACATAGCCTTGGCCCCCCAAGACTGCCGCGTGTCCAGGCTGGCGTCAGGCTCTGCCATGCCCTGGTCCCTTCCCCACAGCCTGAGAAGGAAAGGCCACCCCTGAGCTGGCCCCAGAAAAGCCTATTTGCGGTCACGGCATTTCTTTTTGATACAACCAGGCAGCAGGACCCAACCTCGGCTCAGGGCACGCTGACCCAGGCAAACCCTGGGGCACAGGGCTTCACCTGGCCTGGGTCACCCAGCCTGGCCACCCAGAAAAGAATTACCCAACACCCAAGCAATGCCACCAGGGCAGGATGCTCAGCAACCCTGACCACCAGCTCATCTTCCCAGGGTGGCCTTTCTGCTTCACCTCCCGCTCCCCTGTGCCCAGGGCTGCTTTCCCAGAGGCCTAACCCCAACCCTCCACTCTCTCCAGGATAGGGGAAGGGCAGGGGGACTTCCCTATTTTCCATGAGATAAAGCGGAGTCTCAGAGTGGCAGTGACTTTGCCAAGGCCACACAGAAGTGGAGGGTAGGACTGGTGGCCAGCCCACCCCACTCGGGCCCGCTCTGAGGGGCGCCCTCAGACAGAGGCCTCCTGAGCAGTGAGAGGCAGTGAAAAGCCCCAGCGACCGCAGGGAGACGTGCCAGGGGAAGGTAGTAGTTTTTCAGAGTGCAAATTCCATCTCTCCTGGTGGAATGTCCCATGTGGCAGCAGAGGTGAAGGAAGCGTGGTCCCCGGGCTGCCCTTGGCCTGACCACCCGGCTGCGGGGCCGGCGGGCCCAGGTGGGCGGGCAGCTGACCTGTCATCGCCCAGTCCATCTTTGCCTGGCCCTCGTGGGCCAGGCGGGTCAGTGACGTCCGCCTGCCTGCCTGTCCCTCACACGGCCGCCTACCCCTGGGATCTCCTGGCCTGGAGGGAGAACACAGGCCGCTGTGGACAGGAAAACACGGACTCTGTTTGTCCAGGGATCGGGGCGCCAGTTTGGAGGGAACTCGCAGACCGCACATTCTGCCACCTCCCTGCACTTTTCCAAAACAGCCTGGCCTTGGCTGGGGCTGGCTGCCCAGGGCGGCAGGGGGCTGGGAGCCAGGAACAGGGCAGGGGAAAGCAGGCCTTTGGGGCCAGCAGGGTGAGGTGCCCAGGTAAGGACAGAGACATCGCTCTGCCAGCTCTGCTTGGCTCTGACGTGCCTTGGAGGGCAGACGAAGGAGGAGGGGAGGGGGGAAAGAGAGAGGGAGACAGGGAGAGGAAGGAAAGGGGGCAGAGATGGAGGGGCAGGGGAAGGAGAATGGCCGTCTGTGCCGTCTCCCAGGAGCCCTGTGTTCCAGCCCCGTCCGCCTTGGCCTCCTCCCGCCAAAGAGAAGCTTGCCCTCTACCCCCCAGGATTCGGTGCTCTAAGCCTCTGGCCCTCTCCCACTGAGCGTCCCACACAGCAGGTGAAT